GTACATCTTTAAGAATGTGTGTTAGAATTTGAATAGGTTTGCTAGTTGAGGTATTTGGTAATGCTACAAAATTATTAAGATTTAGTATATTGTATTTAGATAGCATAGTAATTAATTAGCAAGTAATAATTTTTGTAAAGATCTTTCGAATATGTTCAATTAGTAAGATTAGTCTGGTGTAGTTAAGTTGCTCTATAAACTTGGGTTTTTTTAAGACTAAAAATATATAGCTGTTTTTCTATAATGTAGGAATTTGGTTTATGTCTAGACATTGATTAAAGAGATATATGAGAAGATTTAATAATTTTGGTTCACAATGTTTTAGCATTTCATTAGAGATATGGGAAAGGCCTGTTGCTTTATTGTTAGGTAAGTTGTTGATAATTTGAGTAATTTCTTGTGTTGTTATTAGTTTAGTGATTTCATTATACTAGCTTTTTCTAATATATTTTTTCAGTATGTATTCTTTTTCCTAGTTGTTCTATTCATTTTCGTTAGTTGGATTTTCTTTTGTCTAATGTTCATAGTATTCTTTTATATGTACCTTAATTTGAGCAGGGTTTGTGATTTGTGTATTTTTAGTTACAATTTCTTGGAAAGTTACTAGGTCAGTTTGTCAGTCAAGAATACTATTGATCATTAGAGTAGTATTAGAGTTAAAGTTGTTATAGTATTTGTTAATTTGGTTTTGTATATTTTCAGTAAGTACTTGTCAATTTTTTAAATTTCTAGCTTTGTATAGAGTATTGTGATGTTGCTTAAGAATTGAGATTGTGTTTGGTTGGTTAGTAGGTGTAGTATCAGTTAGTATGAATATTTGAATCTCTAAGTCTGTTAAGATATTAATTTTGTTTAGTTTAGTATTAATATTATTCAGATTATGTTTATTTGCAGTAGTGAGCAAGTATATAATACTGCTAATAAGTTGTAGATCTGTGTATAGTTAAGTAGCAAGAAGGGAGTAAGTATGGTATTTTCTATTTGTAAAGGTAGAGTTGGCTTATTGATTTGGTCAATTTGGCTAAAGAATGATCAAATAAGATTGCGATATTATAAGGGATTTCCTTTTTCATCTGAATACTTACATGATATGGATGTTAAACATCGATTTGTAGTGAATTATGTGAACAGGGAAGCAGAATATGAAAAAAAAGCAATTTCATGCAAAGAAATCATGTATTAAAAAATTACTTAATGGGATACGAATGCATGAACCAAATTCATTACCATCACCAGATTTTGATGCAATTACACCCTATTACGATGATTTATGTATGGATGAGAGAAAACCATTTAGCGAATTATTAGAAGATTATCTTGAAGATAAAATAACATTGGCGTTATATGGGCAGGAACTTATGAAGAGTTGTTTAAAGAATAAAAGATATACTACAATGGATAAATTGTTTATGCACTGTATTCAGATAAACAAGGAATCTGAAGATAAATTTTTAGAAAACATTAAATTATTAGAAATTGTCACCTTTTCATTTATGGAGTTAACTTTAAAATTCCCTCAAATATTAAAAAAAGTTTTATCTTATACTTCATTTATTCTTTCAAGTTCAAATCAAAAAATTGCAATTAGAAAATTTTCTTCAGAATCTCATCTTCACAGTCACAAAAAATATCATCTCCCGCATTTCACTAGTAATAATATTTCCTATATTTCACAACATATCATTCGTAAATTATTTATTTTATTAAAAAATAAAATTTCTAAAGAACCTGATGTGAATCCAACTGCAATTTTAATCTCTCCATTGCCAAAGTTTAGTTCTTATACTCATAATTATAATCCTTGGAAAGAATTAATTTTTCCCGAACCCAGCCCTTTTACTAAATACAAATCTTCCGAACTTTATAAGTATTGGCATGGTGAAGCCCTTCTCAATTTCAAGTGGGATACTTACGGAAGACAGTACTATTTTGCTATTATGATCTTTTATTCCGTTTTTATGGGATGTTTTTTAACAGTTGCTACTTTAGAAAGCGAATTAACAAAAAGTATTCAGGAGCGATTACTGATTGCAACTATCATCTTAGGTGTTCTACACTTTACTTTTGAATTGCGGCAATTTATTCATTCGCCATCAGAATGGGTTACCGAGATTTGGAATTATTTTGGTATTTAATTCTTATCATTATGAAGGATATAAACTCTCCTTATAAACTAATAAATAATTATGTATCTATATAAGATATAGGTGCAATGTTAGTCCCAGTAATAACCTCTATTAATTGGTTACAATCCTCTATTATGCCTGTCTCGGCAGTTACAATTTCTATACTATTACTTGAACTTAGATTTATAACTTTTTTTCGTCCTATTGAATTTTTCGGTGCTTATTGGGCAATGATCATTGGGGTTATAGAAAATTCCTATTCTTTCTTTATAATTATTGGTCTTATTATGTTCGCTTTTGCTCATTCCTTACTTATTTTGTTAAGGCCAACAATTAATGCTTTAGATACTTCTATTTCAGAAGAACTTTTAGATACAAATACAAATATGTTTGTAAATTTGAATACAGCATTTTTGGCTGTTTATATGATGTTAACTGGTATTTTAAATTATTTACTTCTGGAACTATAAGATGATTATACAGTTAATTCTTAATTGTTTATAGGTGATTCATCTTGGTCAATAACTGAAAATTCAACACTGACAATTTTGATGGCTTTGTTTTCTTTCTTTACAACCGTTTATTTGATGAATTTATTTATTGGTTGGTTATGTACTTCTATCTATGAAACAAAAAGAAAAGAATTATTTTTGCTTCAAAGAGCAAAGGTAATATACTGTATTATTAATATTTTAATAACTAATATTTGACACTATTTTATTAAAATTATTATAATAATTTATAATTTATATATTTTTTTTTTTAAACAGATTTTATCAGAAATTGAACTTTTTTATATGTTACCATATCAACGTAGAAAAAATAATTGGTTTCCTGAGATTATGTAAATTATTATAAATTATATAAAAAAAGGTTTTTATTTTGCTAGAAATTTATATAATTTTAATTTTAATAATATTTAAAGATTTTACAGATTTAGTCTCGATGAACTTCACGATATAATTTGTAAAGTACAAAAAAATAAATGGAATGATACTATCGAAATACCATTCTTTTCTAAGAAGCTGTTAGATTTTGCTAAAGTGGGTAAAGAAATAGATAATCAAGAAGAAATTCAAGATATAAATAAGTTATCTGCTGAAGTTCAAGAATTAAAAGAAAATAAAAATAAGATAATTAAACAATTAGAAGAAAATGAGAAGAAGATGTTGCAAATATTAGAAAATAATAATGAAAAGTTAATTCAAGAGCTAAAAGAGATTTTGAAGAGTGAATCAAAAAGTTGAAATTATATACTATAATATTTTTTTATAATGTCAAATAATAAATTAAATATTTTTGTTTCGAAAAAATAATAGTTTGATGGCCAGATGCTTGAAAAGAAGCTAGAAATGTAATACAATATAAAAAAATAATTATAATTGTTTCTTGTTGTTTACAATAACTATAAAGAATCAATTTGGTCTCACATACGAAACAACCACAACTATCACACTACTTCGGATAGATTTGGTCTGCGGATTATGTTCGTAGGTAAGTAACTTGGTGATTATGCCTTTGAATATTAATCTACTTATATTAATCTTATATTTCTATTCAGGGGATACCACGTAGGAACTATAACTTTAGAATTTGGAAACCACTGTATGTCAGGTGTCCTAATAACCATAATTACCACAGTACGTCGGGTAATTGGACCTTACTTAATAACTACAACTAACCACAATCCGTCGGGCTAATTAGACAAAATACCACAGTTGGTCTTGGTACGTTAAGACTAACTGGACAATCTATAGGGTAAGTATCAAGTGGACAAGGTAACGAGAATCGTACTGTTTTAAGTTACTTTAAACATTAGATCAGGACTTATGATTCAATGGTTTAAAGTATGGTGCTGTGAGAGGGGAAAATGTGACCTAGCTGTAGGCACGTGAGTGTGATGGAAAAACATGTCCTAACGACGGCACGTAAGAAACGTAACCACGACCTGACCCAAAGTCACGACCCGAACTGAAGCTAGCCACAAGATCCCGCATGTGAAAGTTGGATTTAATAAATGCTATATGGGTTTAGCTCGAAGTGAAGCTCATTGAGAACAATTGAAAAATGGCTTTGTAGAAACAAAGGTGATTGTTAGTCATTTGTAGATTTCCTCCTCCTGATACTAAATCTAAATTATAAAAGTCCAATAAATCTCTCATGTATAAAAAGTCTTATAAATTCTGTTAGTAAAGAGACAGATAAGTTATTATTTGGTATTAATAAAGATCTATATTAAAGCCAGGATCTTAGTAGTAGTAAGATTTTTAGTTTTTGAATCAAATTTTTCATGTTACTTTTGAGTTGTCTAGTGTTTTAGTATTATATTATGTTTTAGTTATGAAAGATCTAATAGTCCAAATTTATTTCTTTTTAATTAGTGGTGATTATAAGATGAAACAGTAAATTTGACAACTTCTTTAATACTATAATATTGATAATAATTAGATTCAGAGTTAATACTACAGTATAACTTCCCAAAACTGATTTTGTCAAAACTGATAACTTGTAATAACTAATAAAAAATTGAGTTACCATGTCTTTTCTATAAGTCAAACCTGATAACCTGTCAAACCTGATAACTAATACTTAAAAAATTAATATTTATAAGATATCAGATTTAACAAGTAAAATAATTGATTTGATTGGCTCAAATTAAATTTTATATAACATATTATAAATATAAGAAATAAATTTAGCTAATCATATTTGTTTAAAACTCTATAGTTAATAAGTTATTGTTTTTCAAAATTGATAACCTGTTAAAACTAATATAAAAGCTAACTACTATGTATATTAGTTTAGAGATTTTATATTATATAATATTATAATAACTAAATTTAAAGTTAAAAATACTATTCTTAAGAGATTTGTAAGTTATATAATATAGCTTTGTACTGATAAGTTTAATAATTGTTATACTAAAAGAGAAGAAATAGTTAATAATTAAAGTAGTTATTATAACTAGTAAAATTTAAAATTAGATAATATTAATTAAATTTTGTCTGATATATTATGATTATTTTAATTATTATATTTAGCTAATACAAAGTACTATAGTTAGTTATAGTTTTGTTTGTTTAATTATTTAATATACTATAATAATTATAGTTGATTACTTGAAGTATTATAGTAATTGTAATTAGAGTTAGTAAAAAAACTAGTATAAGAAATAGCTAAAAAATTTAATACTAGAGATATAAAATAAATGAAGAAGATTTAAATAGGAGATCTACAAGTAGATCTTTGATATAGCAATTAGTAAGTAACCTTTGAGTAGAACCTTTAAATAGACAATAACTAAAATTATATATGTAGCTATTTGTAGTCTTATCTAAATATAAAATATAATACCTTCTATATAAAAATAGATTGGTAAAACTTAAAATATAATAAAAGTACCAGAATATAAATCTCCTTCTTAAATATAAAAAAAAAAAATAAATAAATAAATATAAAATTAGAAAAGATTTAGATAATATAACTACAGATTATAAGAATGATCATTATATAAATTGCATTTATTGTATTTATTATATTTATAGAATATATAGAATAATATACAATATTATTACTATTATAAAGTATAATTATTAGTTATACTTAAAAATATATTATACTTACTATATAATAAATATAAAAAAATTATGATTTATTATAATATGCTTAAAAATACATAACTTTTTTAATTATATTAAATTTTTATAATTATATTAACACATGGAAGACCAATTTTATGATAGCCAGACCCAACGTACAGGACAGGCTTTGGACTCTTGCATAACTGTGAAAACCAAGTATACAGTGAGCGCTCTACAGAAGAAATTCCTTTCTTTCCAGTTCCCAATATCTCATCCCATACTGGAGAACATATTTGCTTTAATCTTTTCCTACTAAAAAATAACTTACCTCTACTAACCTATAATGAAACTCTTTGTTCTTTTTTAAATCATCTACAAACCTCTCCTTTCTTCAACTATTAAAAATCTCAATTAATCAATACCAAACAGAATCTCATATCTATACTAATATTAATGACTCTTTATTACCTAATCATACAATTTTAATACCAGAAAAATTCTACAAATTCTACAATCTACTAATTTGAACAAAACTTAAATCACCACATATTGACTCCAATATCTTTTTACAACAAAACCATATTTCTAATTACACAACTCACGAAACTCCAAATATTCTACCTCCAAGTAATGAAATACAAGCTCAATCCATAAAAATCTATTCACTTAACACCAATGGACTACTCAAAGACTACAAAC